AAAAAAAAAAAAAAAAAAAAAAAAAAAAAAAGATTGTGGAGAAACATGAGAGTGGCATTTGTGTGACCTATCTTGCTATTACATACAGCATATTGAAATCTACCATCTCAACAATCTTACAGAGAAAAGATTTGTATAAGGAAGCTAGTATTGTTAAAGGTGTTACCCAAATTAATAAGGCATGCATGATCAATGATCAATTGTGTTAAGCAAGGTAAAAAGGTATTATTTGGATAAACAAAAGGCAGATGGAAGATTATAGCCTGTGTCTATAATTTGTGAAGAAGCTAGGGCTATAAATGCAGATCTTGTAAGGGAAAATCTATCAACAAATGACACTAGTGAAACATTTCATGCCAGTAAGGGGTGGTTAGAAAATTTTAGAGAACTGGGGTTCATAGCTTAACAAGGCATAATGAAGCAGACAGTGCTGATAAAAGGGCTACTGAAAATTATACACACCACTTCAAAATGATGACACAGAGATAAGGCTTTTGCTCTCACTAAGTTTTCAACTGTGATGAAACTGCCCTCTTCTGGAAGAAAATGCCAAGGAGAACATAGATTACCCAGGAAGAGAAGAAAATGCCAGGCCACAAGCCTATGAAGGAAAGGCTAACCTTACTGCTATGTGCTAATGCTAGCGCTGACCTCTTGGTTTATCACTCTTGAGACCCTTAGAATGTCCAGAAAACACAGTCATGAACAGGCTAGAGGCCATGTGGAGATCTAATGCAAAAGCCTGGGTAACAAGAATACTTTTTTTTTTTGGGTTTTGAGACAGGGTCTCACTATGTAGTTGAGACTGACCTGGAACTCACTATGTAGTCCAGGCTGGTCTGGAACTCACAGTGATCCTCCTGCCTCAGCCTCCCGAGTGCTGGGATTACAGGCGCGCGCCACCACGCCCAGCAACAAGAATACTTTTTATTGAGTGAATCAGGGAGGCTTTCTATCCTACTGTTAAGAAATGTCTAGAGGACAAAGGTTTACTCCTCATCACGGACAATGCTCCTGCTCACCCATGAGATCTGGAAGAATTGGCTGAAGGATTCTCATGGCTCTCAGTAGAGTTCCTTCCACCTAATGCAACTCCTCTACTGCAGCCTATGTACTAGCAGGTTATAGCTAACTTTAAAAAGCTATACACCAAGGAACTGTTCCTGAAGTGGCGCCATATGGTCTCAGACAGATTTAACCCTTTAAGAGATCTAGAAGAAACATTACAATATCCTTTCCTGTGTAGGGATAAATGATAAATGCTGGGCTAATGTCTCTCTAAGAACACTGAGTTCTGCCTGGAAGAAAGTGTGGTCTAAAATTACACAGGAGGGAGATTTTGAAGGCTGCATAGAGGATACTGTGCCTTCAATTGACCCTGTGATTGATGACACTTTCACTATAGCAGAGTCCACAAGATTGCAGGTAGACAGTGGTGATGCTGAAGAACTGGGGAAGGAACACTGAGAGGAACTGTCTACAGAGGAACTTCAGCAACTTGTGGCTGACCAACAGAGAGTGGCAGCTGAGGAGCTATCTGAAGAGGGGGAGTATCAACAATCAGTGCAGCAAAATTCTTCTTTTTAAATAAAGGAAATCCCCCCAAAATGTCAGAGCTACAAACATTTGTAGAAAAGACACAACTAGAAGGGGAAAAGTCAATCATTGCATTCACTTGCTTAATGATGATGTCATGTCATATTACAGAACAGTGTTAAGGAAAAGAAACAGACAACCTTAGACCAGTTTTTAGTTCTGAAAAGGTTAAGACCTAGTGAGCCATAAGTTAGAATCTTCCGAGGAGAGAAAGGACACCAGATTCCTGATGTTCTTAAGGATGGAGACTTCAAAACAATAACCATCTTCCATTTCCTCCTGCTCCTTTCCTGCAAGCCAAAGATGTCAACTTGAATGGTGAATACATGAAATCGTTGTTTTTGGTAAACTAGGCACATTGTATAAATTTTTGATGAATACACTAGGAAAATTATTGGTGTTTCTGGTAAATTATGCAAATTACACAACACTTTTTATTATAGATTAGTTAAGGGGTGCTTTGGGAAGTTCAAAACACATTATGGGTATTTCCATGACTTTTTATGGGGAAAATAGTCTTGACTTACAACCAACTGGAGTTACAATCAGCTACAATTCGTAAGTCAAGGTCCATATAAAATACATTTTTTTTAGACAACATATTGAATAATCACCAGTATAGGAAGAGACAACATTCCAACTGGATCTGCTATCAAGACTGGCAGCAGAGTCAGGGTTCATAGTTCTGGCCTCAGTTCTGCCACACAGGGTCTTAAAATGGGGTCAGAGTGAGCTACCTCCTACTGCTCTGCTCTGCTCATACCTGGGAAACAGTGTTCTGTTATGTCCAATCACCACCAAGAATATGGTTTCTCATTTTGACTGAGGATTGGTTTAGCGTGTTGCCTATCAAGGGTAATAGCTCCTAGCCATTCACAGAAAGGCGTTCCAGCCACCTGATGCTACAGGCTCAGCTACAATTACTACCACCTCTGTTCCTTCTCCCTGAGAATACTGTATATTACCATCAGCTCAGAGCCAAAGATAATGGTTTCTAGGATTTGTTCCTGATTTTGTATATATATATAAAAACAATGAAGAGACCATTTAGCTGGGTCTACTTGAAGAATTAGAAATATCCACCACAACTGTCATGAGAAATGTTTCCTGGAATATCCCCCCACCCCCATTTCCCCTTTCCTTTACCCACTCAATCTTTCAAGTTGCACATATAGAGCTGTGGAGCTGGGACAGCAACAAGTAGGACCCATGCAGTGAGCCCTGGCATTTTTGTCCCAGCCCAATGAGAACACTGTGCCTGCCATAGTTCTCAGGAGACCTAATGATATCGAATTAATAAATACTAAGCAGCACCAACCTGACATTAGGTATCCATCCCACTTGAGAAAGGAAAGGGAAAATGACACTATTACCAAAGACACCCAAGGTTTCTCTGGCACAACTACTTTTTGCCAGAGTCTGTGCCTAATTGGGCACTCCAATTTGGTGCCTGACTAGGTACTACCCTGTATATCACCACTAATTCTCAGCAATCCCCCCAAGGTAATGTTAACTAAAATTTTTAAGTGATCCATGCCAAAGTTACAGAGTCAATAAACCACAAAGCCATTATTTGAAACCACTTGTGTCTAGCTCTGAAGCCTGTACTCTTTCTACTATATGCTAAGAAAGTAGAATAAGCTATGGACCCTGGTATAAGCCCTACTCTGACAGAGCATGTAAATGATACAGAAAGCTTGGTAGGGGGTCAGAGACAACATAAATTTAAAAAAAAGGGAACACAGAGATGTTAATGGATGATTTCCAAGGCTCCCAGACTAGAGAACAATCAGTACTTGCCTTTCTCCTTCTGGGTCCTACTGTCTGTCAGGCAAGCTTTGGCTGACCCCAGGGCTACCAGCCACCGCTGTCTCTCAGCCACACTTCTGGCCTTCAAGTAGAAATACTGTTCCCCAGGAATTATTAGGTCCATGCGGGTATTATCTACAGAATGAACTGGAAGCAAGGCAGAGTAGTCAGAAACTTGGAAGTGAGTAGACTCCACCCCATTCAACTTCTTGACATCAAGTGGCACCAGTTCTTAAAAGCTTTTTCCCAGACAAGAGAGGAGGAGAGAAGTAGTAAGGTCAGCCCTTAGTTCACACAATGTTCTGTTTATCTTTTCCTACACAGTTCTGTTGATCAAAAAACGCGATGCTTTTAATTGGCTCTATAAGCCATCATTAAGTCTTTGACCCAAAAAACAATCACTCAATTTAAGTGTCTATCAGAATATAGAAGGAACCTCTCTTTTGGCTGTGTGTACATAAAATATGCTGCTTTGGGGTCAAATAGGCTTGCATGCGTTATGGTATGGATTGCCCCAGTCCAAAGAAAAAGCTGGAACCCTGCTAAGGGTTCACATGTCAGAAGCTTAGTCTGTAGTGCAGTGATGTTGGTAGGATGTTTATGAGGTGAAGCAGTGTGGGAGGTTACTGGGAGCACTGCATTCAGAGAGTTAGAACAGTTCTCATGGGACACTGGTTCATACTCAGGACAGGGCTGTCATAAAAGAGCAAGACTGGTTTTTCCACAGACTCTCTGGCTTCCTGTTTTATCATATAATCTCTCCCTCTCACACAAGCTCCCACTGTGATGCCATTTTCCATGATGTGACACACCCAGTTGGCACCATGCTATTTAAAATTTGAACCTCCAAAATTGTTAACTAAATAAAGTTCTTTCCTTTATACATTATCTGGCTTCTGATATTTTGTTGTAGTAATGGAAAATGGTCTAATACGCATGCTAACAAGCAAAGATGCATTTTTTTATCAATTGCTTATTTTGCTTTGAGTGTGTATGGGAGTGAGTGTGTGGGTATACCTGATCTGATTTAAACACAGAAATGTCTGGCACCGCAGTAAATTTTTTTTTTTTTTTTTTTTTTTGCAGTAAAGATTTAAACTTTGCAAATAGCTACTGGTCCCAGGTGAGCAGGTGATTAAGGAATGAGTACTAGCTGAGTAGTGAAGCACACTGCTCTTGTTCATTTGGACCACACCTTTTTAATTAATTTTATTGGTACACTTTAGGTATACAATATAGTGACAATCATCATTGGAAATCTGCACCTTTACATAATCCACCTTGGTTCTTATTTTTCCCCTAGTCCCCTGCCCTCAACTCCTCCATCCCTCCCTATCTACAAAGACTTTGTGGGACTATTTAAACTCTCCTTATGAAAGACAGCTGCAGTTTTAAGTTGTATTTACAAAGGCCATGATACTATGTATCTTTATCTGTACTGTGGGAACAGCAGAGAAAGGCATGCAGAGGCCAGTGCTTTTTATTTTTTCAGAGACATAAAAATAAAACCTGCAGGTTGTTTGGTTTCCCACCTTGAATTTCACAGACTGCCATTTGGATGCTCCCTTTGCAACCTTTCCAGGCATCTTCAGGAGAATCATAATAGGATAGTATTCCTCCACAGAGAAGGAACCATCGAGGCTGCCAACCTGAAAACAGAAGCAAGAGGATCATTGTAATTACTACCAGCATGTGAGGTGCCTACCAGGACACTGAAACTAAGGCCTAATATAGGATACCAAGTCTCAGTTGCAAGGACCCTATTCATTGCAAGGGAAATTCTAGAGAAGGAGGCAGGTTAGAAAAGACTTGTATGTTTGATCCTATTTTTATAAAATTAAACACCACGAAGGCATATAGTTTTAGTCACATGAAGTATAGAACTCTGGAATGATCAACAGCAGGCATGGATGATGATACTCAAGGTAACAGAATGTACAATAATTTTTATTATTGTTTTATCATGTAGTAATAGTAATCTGTGATTTTTAATTTTTCTAAGACAAATGATTATTGTGTCCTTAACACTGCTTTACTCATGCACTCTCCTCCCTGGACTAAGAAACAAAATATCAGAAATTTATAAATAGTGCAACAAATGTTACAATGCCCTTTCAACAAAAGTTATACAACTAGTGTCATATGACTCAGGAAAAGATAACTCTGTTTCACTTAAAAAAGTATTGATTCATCAAAACAGAATGATTTTAAAACATTCAAAGTTTAACTCCATTCACTTCAATACTGCAAAAGTTCAGGGTATAAACCACATAGTAGACATATATTTTATCTAGTCTTCTATGATACCCTATATTTCAGTCAAACCGACCTTATTTGCTGCATTTCAAGCAAGATCTTCACAAAATGTCATCCCTGACTATCTGCATAAGCCTTTCGGGTCTCCATAAGGCATAGTCTTTTTCCTTTCTCTGAAATGCCATAGTCATTTAGCGATTCATTTCTCTCATGAGACTGCTGTGACTGAAATAGCCAGTGAAAAAGCCAGTGAGAGGGGAGGGTCCCAGGGTTATGTAGTTATACATGTTTGATGGGCCTCTGGGGACTACTTCACATCATCCAAGTGGGTAAGACAACAACTGATGACCACATGGAATCAATTTATTATGTTCTATGGGGAGACTACTACTTCCTGGGGCACCCCTGGACTAAGATTATGATAAAGAAATTATGTTTGTAATCAGAAGGCTGAACAGTCAGCACTAAATTTAAGTGAAGCTATTAGGTGGGAAGGCAAGATACTGTTCTCATCACTTTATTAGGGTCTACTTTTCTAGAAACCAGATTACTTAGGACTGCAAGGTACAGTGTCTCTTACTTCCTTAAAACTGAGTAAAAACTAATTCGAAGAAACCACTCTCCAATGATACCTGAATTGAAATATCCTACTATACAACCTTTCTCATCAAAGATAAGAAATCTTTTCACAAACTATGGCTTATGCTCCTTTTGTTATACTTTATATTGAAGACTTCCTTCCCAAGGACTCAGATCCTTTACAGACTATCAGGATATGCATGGTAATTAACTCTACATCTGCCCAAGTCAATTCCTGGCTAACGAAACTCTTCAAATGAACTTGTAAATTTTTATCTCAGAAGGCAATATTTCCTGACCTTGGCTTCAAATTCTACAGAAACGCAAACTTGAAGGCTACCCTTTATACAACGAAATACTGCAACCTGGGAAACCCAATCAATTCTCAGACTATGCTGTTTTTAGGCAGAGAATCAGACATTACTGATTACGGAGCATTTATTTGTACCTCAGGTCACCTCTTCTCACTGAAACAGAAGAATCAGTATTTTAGAATTGGAGAAGTAGAAGAGGTCTTTGAACTAATCTAGTCAAATTGACTCATTTTACAAATAAAGAAACCTAGGGCCAGGGATTTAGCTCAGTGGCACCACGCCTGCCTCACAAGCACAAGGTCCTCAGTTCAATCCCCAATACCAAAAAAAAAAAAAATCAAAACAAAACAAAAAACATAACATAGGGTACACAGGCTGCACATAGTGGAGCTAGGAAGAAAGTTATGTCTTTCCACACTGCCCATTTGGCACTAAAACTCTGACTTTAGCCCCTCACTCTGAAATAGCTATCCTGGTGATATAGGGCACCAAGAAATCTAAATAAGGGAAAAAATCCAAATAAGGAAAACATTATAACTCCCAACCTGCTAGATCTCTGAAACCCTGAGTAAGTGTTCTCTAAAACTGAAGAATAAATTCCAAGAACAACGGAGGTTAAGAGTAGGAAGAATTTATTGAAAGATAAGCTTCTGTCTAAAAGAGACAGAAAGGGACCAGAAAGTGGGTTGCCTACCCAACCCACTTCTCAAAGGTGTTTTATTGAGCAAAGCCATTAAGTGAGGCAGGTTCAAAGTGGAACAAAACTAGTTAACTAATAAGATTACAAGTATGGTTCCTTAGGTAATATTGATCCAACAGGAAATCAAAAAGTGGGACAAAACTATGATCAACCAATAAGATTACAACAAATATAGTCACTTAGATAATACTGATTAAATGGGGAAGCTAATCACATAGCAAACATACATGGAAAGACAAGGATTTCAGCAGAAGAAATAGGCTAGGGAGGTTTTGTTGCCCAATTAAGGTGACCTGATGTCAATTTAGAATATCAATGACTGCTATTCATCCCCAGGGGAAGCATGTAGGCGTAGTAGTTCTTCCTTTTTGAATCCTGACCTTTTAGTAAATGTGTCTCAATTGTTTTGTCTGCTGAGGCTTTGCCTAACTGCCTTATATTTTCTAACTAGCTTAGGTGTCTATAATACTGATATAGAATACAAGCATCTTTTCAGTGTGCAGCTTATTCTGTGACCCTAACTGGTGTGAACACTTCCCAAAGCTATCATGCTTTGTGTAGAAGGCACTCTCAATTACTACATTTGATCCAATTTAGGATCCAACTGAATTAGCATTCTCCAGAGAAAATGAATCAATAGGATATGTGTATATGTACACATAAAGAGATGTATTATAAAAAACTATCTCAGATGATTCTATGCAAGTCCCAAGATCTGTAGTTATCAAAGTAAAGACACAGAAGAGCACACAGTACAAGTTCTAATGAAGCTCAATGTTCTAGTTCAAGGCAGATGGGCAAGTGGAATTAGTTTCCTCTTAGCCTTTTTTGTTATAGTCTAGTCCTAAACTTATGGATGAGGTCCACGGTCTTTCAATTCAATTTAATCACACCCAGAAGCATACTTACAGAGTCAGAATAATGTTTGGTTAAATGTGTGGGTGCTTGTACCTGTGCTTGTCAGCTTTCTATTACTATAACAAATATTTGAGATAAATCAATGTACAAGGAGGAAAGGTTTATTTTGGCTCACAGTTTCACAGGTTTCTGTCCATGGACACTTGGTCCCACTGCTTTGGACCTTTGGTAAGGCATCAAATCATAGTAGAGAGCTAGTGATGAAGCAATACTCACTTCATGGTAACTGGGAAGCAGGAAACAAGGAGAAGTCAGCATCCCAACATTCCCTTCATGGGCACCTCCCCAAATGACCTAAATTCAGTCTACTATGCCCCTCCTATTACCATCTTCCAACAGTGACAAGCTGTGGACCAAGCTTTAAACACATGGGCCTTTGAGAGACATTCCAGATTCAAGCTATAGCAGCACCCTGTGACCCAAAAACTTATCGTATAAAACCCTGTGACTTAAACGTTTTACCACATCACCAATTATAAGACAGAACCATTATTTTGTGTTATAGTTTAACTATGAAATGGTCCCTAAAGACTCATGTATTGAGGACATAATTCTCAATGCAGCAGTATTCAGAGGTGGGGCCTGGAGAAGTGACTGGATCATGAGGACATTCATCAATGGAATAAAATATTGATAAGTTCAGAGCTGAATGGGTTATTCAAAGTCTGGGCTAGTTGGAGGAAGTAAGTCACAGTGGAGGGTGCCTTTAAAGGATGTATTTGGTCCCTGGTTCTTCCTCTCTGGCTCTTTGCCTGCTTTCTGCTTCCTGGCTGTAATGAACTGAGCATCTTTTCTCTACCAAGGCCTTCCACCATGATGTTTCTGCTTTGGAGTCAGCTGACTTAATGCCTGAAACCATGAGCCAAGTAGTCCTCTAAATTGACTTTCTCAGGTGTTTGGTCCTAATGATACAAAGCTGACTAATATAAGAAAAAAAAACTTTGTTAATTAAGCAATTACATGGCACTAATTATAAGGTGCTTCCAGATTTCAGAGTTTTTGATGTGGGGGGGGAAGGTATCTTAAATTTGAAAAAAATGGAGCTGGGCATATAGCTCAGTGGTAGACTATTTGTCTAACATTTTCAGGGCCCTGGTTCAAGTCCATATACCATAAAAAGAAGAATAAAATAGAACAGTACCCTACACTAATTTTATCTTACAGGAATGTGAAAAAAGTTAAAACAGCATCCCTTACTTCATAAAGCACAGGTGCAGCTAGTTTTAAAAGCTGCTGACAAACTATCATCACAACTGAAATAATTACCTTTCTTATATCAGGTTCTGTATTTATCCAGGGGAAGTTTTAATTACACAAAGTGAAGTTCAAAATGTTACTATTTTATTTTATAGTTTGGAACTACAGAAACTATAACTAAAAAAAGCCTTTTAAGCATAAAGCTCCTGAAGTTGCAAAAGGCACATTAAGAGACCAGAAATCTCATTCTCATTAGATGGAATATAGTAGGAAAAAAGAGGCCAGGATGATGAAAAGGAAATTAATCTACTTTTTATTTTAAAAGAATCTTCAGTTACTTTGGAAATAATAAAAATGTTCAAGGTAACAAAAGGGCAGACGAAAACTATGGGCTGTACTGGTCTCTGCTTCCTTACAATGCCATTAGACTAATCTTCCTATTCAATCCCATCCTCTTTTTTTTTTTCACTATGTCTCCAAGAGATGGAATGTGGTGTCAGCCAAACTCCCCTAGTGGAAGGATTAGACAAGAAACTTTAGTGAGCAGAAAGAATATTTGACATTTCTTTTTGGCAATTCAGCATCCATTCTGCACATTTTCACTACTGAATACCTTCTTCTCCATACTTTACGTATGTAATCTGGATAGGTTAATCAACTCCAA